GTGGGAAGACCTGTAATGAACTAATGGGTTGTTGCTGTGGAGGGTGAAGTTTGTAAGTAAAGTGGGTCGGGGGCATTTGGATGGGCCTGGGTGTTTTGAGATTTAGAAGTGTTTGGTTGCACTGGTTGACCTTGGTTGGAGGCTTCTATAGGAATTGTGAGGGAGGCTGAATTGACTTCTTCCCTGGTTCTGGGATCTCCTGTCAGTCTTCCTCCATCCCCACTCTGTTCCTCCTATCGGCCTTTGTACCATCTCCCTTCATTTTCTTCCTTTCTTCTTGTGTTCTGGTCCGCGTCGAGATACAACCTTCCTGTATGCCGTCATGTCCCTTAATCGTGCTTTCTCTTTCTCCTGCAGGAATCCTGGTCCTGAGTAGGACCTTATGTACAAATATGTATAGGTATATACAGCTGAGATGAGTAATCTTCAGTGAATTATGTACTGTGAGATTTACTTTAAATGCATAATTTAGTGATGGAAGTGTCTCTAGCAACTTGTAAACAGATACATTCGCGGCCCTATGACCTTGTTCATAGAGAGGCTTCAAAAACCCAAAGAACTATAATATATAATCTGAACTCATGATTAAATGATGATTGCATAATGGAAACTAAACCGTTTCGCCCACACAGTAGGCTATATCAAGCCAAAAACAAATCTACCTGGGTAAGGTATATGTTTATATATAGGGTGAGGATGCTGAGTTAGGTTGCATTTAAGACGGACCTGCACAGGACGAGCGAGCGTGCATGGTTGTTGTATGTAGGATAACGAATGAAAAGTTTCTTGCCAAAGGGTTACAGCTATGTGTAAAAGCATATGTTTAGGTTGAAACGTATAGATATACAGATAAAGTGATGATTCCAAAATCCTCACGGTACTCGACTCTTCTCTGTCATGATCTTGCGTCTCTGTATTGATTAAATGGATGTGAACTGTCGGCTAGAACACAGGCACTATCCCTAATTCGTCCATTCTACCTGCGTACTGGTTTTCTGAAATAAGTGTTTGGAGGTCTCTGAATGACTCTCTTACGTATAACTGGGCGCAAACGATGCAAGATTATGTATACCTCTGCAGAGGATAGAACCTTGTGTGACTCTTACCATATAATTCCAATAAAGGATCACAATGTAATGCATAAGTGTTAAATTTTTTCCACCATTTTTAATCTCCGTGATTTCATAATAAGTTTTTATTTTACTTTTGATAATTTCTCTCTCTCTCGCTCTCTCTCTCTCTCTCTCTCTCTCTCTCTCTCTCCTCTCTGTTCTCTCTCTCACTAAGGTAAACGATGGGATTGACACACGACAACTATGAGAACATACACATGCAATACATATAACTAAAACATGTCTAAAGATCTCTGCCTTCTCGAGCCAACAAGTTGTTCCTCTAATAGAACACGTGATGTGTGTGTTGTGTGTGAGTGGTGTGTGTGGTGTGTGTGGTGTGTGTGTGTGTGTGTGTGTATGGTTGTGTGGTGTTATGTTGTATGTTTGGTGTGTGTGTGTGTATGTGTGTGTGTGTGGTGTGTGTGTGTGTGTGTGAGTGTGTGTGGTGGTGTGTGTGTGTTTATGTGTGTGGGTGTGGTGTGTGTGTGTGTTGTGTGGTGTTGTATGTTGTGTGTGGTGTGGTGTGTTGGTGGTGTTGTGTGTGTTGTTGTGTGTGGGTGTGTGTTAGTTACCATTTGTCCAGCACATTCGATTAACACTAGCCTGTTAGTAGGGTGTTAGGTTGTACTCACACTATTTTGGTTGCGGTTCCGAAGTCCCTAGCTCCTGGCCCCGCCTCTTCACACGGTTGCTACTAGGCCCTCTCTCTCTCTCTCCCCGCTCTCATGAAGCCTTTTCAAACCTCGTCTTAAAACTGGTATGGTTCCTGCCTCCACTACGTCATTTTCTAGGCTATCCACTGCCCTACAACTTCTATGAAAGAATAAATACTTCCTACTATCTCCCTGACTCATTTGTGTCTTCAACTTCCAATGTGGCCTCTTTGTTTCTGTGTCCCCCTCCCTGGAACATCCTGTCCCTTTCTTGATCCACCTGTCTATTCCACGCGTAGTTTTATATTCTGTTATCATGTCCCCTCCCCTGACCCTCCTGTCCTCCAGTGTCGTCAGGCCGATTTCCCTTAACCTTTCTTCGTACGACAATCCCCGTAGCTCTGGGACTAGTCTTGTTGCAAACCTTTGCACTTTCTCTAATTTCTTGACGTGCTTGACTAGGTGTGGATTCCAAACTGGTGCTGCATACTCCAGTATTGCCTGACGTAATTAAAAACATTGTCTTGAAC